ACAAATATTCAGATCATTCAATGTTTACCTAAATTTCCACTTTGGATGTGAAGTTAATGTGTTACTGAATTTAATTATTGTTTCCTGTATGGCATAAAATGATTTCAGAGACCTATGACAGTTTTTAATCATTTCTTTTTTTGGAACTGTTCCTTGAGTCTTTTAAAGAGACCTTCTAGGTTATTGCATGTTTGTACCATTCTACAAATTATCTTATCTTTACATTCATCATTAGGCTTATCTATGTTTTATGTTCCAAGAACCAAAGAATTGCTGGCCTTTCAGGTAGTAACTAGTAGATTTGTATCACATGAAAATATTTCTTGTACTTCTGGTGTATAACTCTAGATGAACAGGAAAGATATTAACCTATTTAGAAGAAGACATTTTTTGTTTTTGTTGACGTAGCCCTTTTGACGTCAAGGGTCTTAAAACTATCATAGTTTAGCTAATTTGAATTCACTACAAAGAAGTTTCATCTGATTTTTGTCAGAAGTGCAACCTGTTATCTCTTTTTTTTTTTTTTTTTTTTTTTTTTTTTAAAGATTTCATTTTTTCCTCTTTCTCCCCAAAGCCCCCCGGTACACAGTTGTGCACTCTTCGCTGTGGGTTCCTCCAGTTGTGGCATGTGGGACGCTGCCTCAGCGTGGTCCGACGAACAGCGCCATGTCCGCGCCCAGGACTCGAACCCACGAAACACTGGGCCGCCTGCAGCGGAGCGCGCGAACCCAACCACTCGGCCACGGGGCCAGCCCCAGCAACCTGTTATCTCTTGAAAAGTGGCTGACCTTTGTAGCTGGGCAAAAATAGGATGCATACAGAGATAGAAGAGGGCTGAGTCAGTAAGGCTGGAAAGAAAGAGCGTGTGGAGACGGGTGAGAGCTCCAAGGCTTCAGAAATGGGTCATCTGGGAAGGAAATCGAGGAAGAAGAAATTACCTGGAGCAAGGAGGTGCTAGTGTTTACTCTGTAAGAAGTAAAGAGATGAGAATGAGAGTGTGGGTGTGAATCGGGGGTAAATGAAATCATTTAGGAAATAGGGTGGCAAATTGGCTAACCCTGGCAGGATAAAGCTAAAAATATGCAGATGATAATCACAAAATAAAATTTATGGGAAAATACAGCAGCCTAAGATTAGCACTCTCCTAGTTCTTAAAGCAAACCTTGACTACAGAGTGTGTTCTCAGTAAACGTGGACTGAACGAATGAGGTTTTGAAAGGAGCCTCAGTTTGCAAGGTAGATATTGACCAGGAAGGAGAAAGTGGATGGTGGGTAGATTCCGGTTGGAATTGAGCAAGATTATTGAGTGTGAAGTAAACTGAGAGTAACAAGATAATTACTCCTAGATGAGATGGGAGAAGCTCTCTGGAATACAGAGGAGGCCAGATTGGTGGGCTGTCTAAGTGAAGTTTGCTTCTTCGTGCAACAAATAGTCAAGAAGATCCATGCTAGGTCTTAGTAAAATGGGGAGGGGGTGTGTGTGTGTATGCGCTCATGTGTGGCTTAAGTATCCTCACTAGGTCAACCACTGTATTTCTAATTTGAAGTACAGAATTCAAAGTGACATCCTCTTGCGGGCCACTACCCTAAGTTTCTAGGTGCCACCTGAATGCTGAAGAGCTTATTTTGCTGATACTTGTATTTAATTTCCTCTTTTAAAAGGGATAAAATAAAGGGCCAGCCCAGTGGTGTAGTGGTTAATTTCACGCACTCCACTTCAGCAGCTCGGGGTTCATGGGTGTGGACCTACACACTGCTCGTTAAGCCACACTGTGGCAGTGCCCCACATATAACATGGAGGAAGATGGGCACAGATGTTAGCTCAGGGACAATGTTCCTAAAGCAAAAAGAGGAGGATTGGCAACAGATGTTAGCTCAGGGCCAACCTTCCTCACCAAAAAAAAAAAAAATAATAACAATAATAATTAATAAATAAATAAAAGGAGGGAAAATGAGCAAAGTCATTTTGTACCCTTACTGGCTTTTCTATCATCTGTTTTTCCCCCTTGACCTGTTCTTCTCCCCTCTGCTGCCTACCGTGCACTGTTGTTTTCTCTCATAGGGAGAGGAAGTTCGATGTCAGTATGTTGTGACGTGTGCAGGACTTTACTCAGACCGCATTTCAGAGTTGAGTGGCTGTAATCCCGATCCTCGAATTGTACCCTTCCGGGGAGATTACCTTGTCCTGAAGCCAGAAAAACGCTATCTTGTGAAAGGAAACATTTACCCGGTAGGTAGTGATGCTCTGCCTTCCCACTCTCTCAAGATGGCTGTGGGCGAGACGAGAGGGGAGCAGAAACTTCTACCTGGGTCAGACGTGAGAGACATGTTGAAGGGCTTTTAGTGCAAGCATTTCACCTGTGTCTCTTGTGGTTAAATCCCTAAACCTTTATTCTGATATAGTCATTAAATTATGGTTACTTGCCCACCAGTCCATGTCTTTAGGAGGCGTGAGCGTGTCACGGGAAGGGCTGTCAAGACAGACCCAGTTCTTCCTCCTGTCTGGTGGAGGGAGCACTCCTAAGAGGACTTGCCCTTCCAGCATGCCCAGATCCCCAGCCCCTGACTCAGTTCACTACCTGTAGGTGCAGAGAAGGGGACGTGGCCACTGCAGTGTCCTGGTGTAGGAGACAGAGCCGTTTAAGTGGAGAGTTCACTCTTCTGTCTGGAGCCACTAGGCTGAACCAGATGAAATTGCCAATATTCAGCTGTTTCTTTGTGACCTTGCCAAAACATCCATTTCATCTGCTTCAACCTAATACATCCCACTTTACAGAAGTCTGCTGTGAATGTGTTTTTTTCTGGCAACTCTGATTTTCTTGCCAGCCACATACATCCCTAGTTGGGGTGGGGGTTGGGGGATAACCTGAAATAGGACAGTTCTTTTCTTCTTCTTCTTTAGCCAGAAAGAGGAAAAGATGGGACAATGTTTTCAGAGTCAACAGCACCAGTGTTTCCTGTGTGGCATTTCTAGGCAGAAGCGTGTGAACAGAGAAGTGCATCTGAGACAGACCAGAAGTGATGCAGACTGAGTGCATGAGAAGAGAGTGTTTGAGGTTACCGTGCATGTTTGCATGTGTGATAAAATGCGGCATGAAATGGGGCTCATAGTCCTTTGCTATGTTGAATCCGTAGGTCCCAGATAGCCGATTTCCTTTCCTAGGCGTTCACTTCACACCAAGGATGGATGGCAGCATTTGGCTAGGGCCGAACGCAGTGCTGGCCCTTAAACGAGAGGGCTACAGACCCTTTGACTTCAGTGCCAGAGATGTTATGGATGTCATTATCAAGAGGTAATTTTATCTCCTAAAAAGACAATTTTATATGCTTATGTTTTTAATGTGGGAAATTTTGTCTTTATTCATATTCTATTCAGTAAATCCTCATGTTTGTGATTGGTGTATTGATATTTTTATTAATCCAAATTAAGAGCTTTGTGGAATAAGCATAACTTTTTAACTACTTCAAGAGCATGCTGATGAGCCAGGGTGATGCCTTGGTTAAAAACAGTAAGACCAAGAGCCAGTCACACATCTGACAATCCAAATCTCAACTTCTACTTGAGTTTGGGGGAAAAAAAAGAAGTTTGTCTCAAAATCAGTAGATGGCTTACTTTGATAAGATCATTTCAAGCCCGTCACCATTATTTTGAGAACCACTGGAGAAACTGCTGATCACTGAAGTTGTTTCATTTTGTGGGAAACTGACAACACTGTTGTGTTGACGTGGGACGCAGATTCTTTGCTGTTCTAAGAATTAGCTCGACTGGGTGTTTTGTCTGGTCTTTCCAGCAGTGTTGCTCTCCAGAGGGTTTCAAAATCGCTAGAATGCTTTTTAAGCTATCCTTGAGTTTCACCCTGCGCAGATTCTGGAGCAGAAGGTTTCGGCTGGGGCTTCCTAGCCTGTGTGCTTGTAAAGCTACAGAGACACACGCCCCGCAGGGTCACACTGGAGAATCACTGCAGGAGCGCCCGCCTCTGCTGACTGAAGAAAAGTGGGTACATGGCCTCCTTGGTTAGAGCCCTGATTTAGAGACCCGGCGCTACCCTTTAGGCGGTTGTGAGAGTGTGTAGCACTTGCACTGGACAGCCCTGCTGTGGCCAGGCTTTCAGAGTCCTGCTCTGAGACCAGCATTCCCTGGGATTTGAGTTTGAAAGGTGTTTACCTTTGGAGTTTGGAAGGTATTCTTTTGCTGAAGTTTCTTTATGTTGGCCAAAAGTTGATTTGCTTTTAATATGTGGTTTTTCTGACTTTGCCTAGATTTCTGTGATGCCACCCAAAAAAAAAAAAAGATCAAATAGTTGTAAGTGTGTTTTGTAGTAATAAAGAATTCCTTTCTCATATAAAGATTTTATTTGCTTTGCTTTCAGTGGCTTGATTAAACTGGTGTTCCAGAATTTCTCTTACGGAGTTAACGAGATGTACAAAGCCCTTTTTCTCAGTGCAACAGTGAAGCACCTTCAAAAGTTTATCCCTGAAATTACTGTCAGTGACATCCATAGGTAAGGAGAAGCCGTTAAGGACTGTAGATAGAGTCAGGACCTGGGTGAACTGGGGAGGTGGGTCTGATGTCCAGTCAGTGTGTCCACTGCGTCTTGTGTGCTCTCCCTTCCCAGCACGTTGCTGAGTTCCCTCTGCAGTGCATGTGGTGGGCTTGCTGCCTTGTGGCCCTTAGTGCTTGGACTAGCCCATTTATGATTACCTAGACCACCGTACAGCATTCACTGAAGCCTCCACCGCAGCTGGATTGTGATGCCACCTCTGCCTTTGTGTCCAGCTGTCATTCATGACAAGAACATCTCACCTGAAATTTTTTCTAATCTCCCTGGCCTCTTACTCTTATGATTTTAAAGCCTTTTGATCTTAATTCCATATAAGATCATTGATCCCTATGTTAACTAATTAGGTAGTAAACACATTACAACATTGTATTTTGATTGATTGTTAAAACCTATTAGAAACACACTCCTGTACCTGGCCTCTTATCTTGCCTCCTCTCTGCCTCCTTTGCTCTTCCATGGGCCTCCTCCACGGAGGGACTCTGCCTGCAGGACAGAAGTGGGAAGTGGTGTGGTAACAGTCAGTCTAGGTCCTTGCTCCAGGGGTGTGGGGCAAAGGAAGGATCACTTGAAAATATTTTTTTTCTTAAAGATAAAGTTTTTCTGGACGTGGTCTGTAGATTGTCTGAATACCACCCAAGCCTACCTTCTTTTCTCTTTGGAGGTATTTTTAGGGTGTTTACCTTTTTCCCTGAACAAGCCATCCCTGGGCCCCATCAGCAGCGTGCTTTGAGATACTCTCCCTCCGTGAACCTCTAGAGTGCTGAGTGTTGGTCTCTGCAGTAACAGCTGCTGAGCTTGCCTCATGTGAAATGTCAGCAGCTCGGTTCTGCAACTGGGAGGAGAGCAGTGATCGTGTCAGCTGTCTCCCTTAGGGGAGCGTCCTGGGCTCAATCTGACTCCAGTGTGTCGTTCTCAGGCCAGCCTCTTTGAATCCTTAGAAGAACTGTTAAAACCCAGCTAACGTCTTTACTCTTCTCTCACTCCTCTACTCACCTTCTGAAGTAGAAGGGATAAAAATATCTAGGCTTTGTTTTCTGTCACTCACCTATAAATAATAAAGGCTTTTATGTTCTCAGTGGTCTGCTTTAGCAGACTGATATTTTCTATCTGAAAAGAGATTGGTCAAATCTGATGTCTGTCACTGCTGTCACTGTTCTTGGAAACAGTAGGTGGGTGCGGCAGACTCTGCATCAGCAGTTGCAGTGAAGTCACCACCCGTATTCACTTACCGCCTTTCATAGCAGCCTGAGAAGACTCTTTAGACCAGTGGATTTCACACAGGAGAACTGGACGTGGAGCTTGTGGTTTTCGGTGAACACGCCTGTCTCTGGTGTGAGGGTGTGGATTTCAGTCACCAGTGCCATTAGCACATAGGGGAAAAGGGCACACAGCACTGTAGGCAGGTGAATTGGGGACAAATTCAACCCAATCGTAGGTGAATCTCTGGAGACAGAGAAGCGGAGCATGTTCAGAATTCCCTTTACCCCTTCCCATGACTCCTGTAGCTCTTGGAGGAAGGAAATTATCAGTGACAAAAAGGAAGTTGTAGGAGATATGTTTGATACCATTTATGTGAGTTTAAACAACACCATATACTATCTATGGATTGCACATGTAATATGAAAATAAAAATGAGCATGGGAGAGAGAAACACTAATTGAGGAGAGTGGTTACCTCTGGGAGAGAGGGGAATGGGGTCCAGAGAGTTCCACAGGGGGCTTCCATCATGTCTGTGATGCTTATTTTTTAAGCTGTTTGTAAGAAAACAGGTGTTCATTGTGTGATTCTCTGTACCTTGTTGTATCCCTGAAATACTAAATGATAATAATAAAAAGTAAGGTCAGTAGACTCCCCCACATTTTGAGTCCCAAGTTCTGCCTTCTTGCAGCCCAGTGTAGTAAAACCATTGGTGCTCTAGTGTTGATGTCAAGACAGACGCATATTGAGCAGTTCTAGACAGTAAAAGAGTGCTAGCTCAGGACAGTGTCGTTACATTGCAGGAGCCACCAGAGGACACCCAGCTTGACTTCTCATTGCCAGGCAAGAGCGCCTTGGACATTAACTTCCTGGTGAACCTTAGACTGGAGTGTAAAGTTGTAGCCTGTCAAATATGTGTTAGATGTACACACTTCTCATTGTTAAATGATAATCTCTGAGGTTCTTAATTTAGCTCTAAAGTCCTTTAATTTGTTCTGTGATTAATTTGACTTGATAATCTAACAACAGTTTGTATCTCTTAGCCTTGTAAGGATGTAAAAGAGGAAGACATATATGTCAAGGTCCCCTCTTTTTCCACACTTGATTTTGAGAAGTGTCTTAATTGGGCAAGATGCTTTCATCATGAGTGATAGCTAGAAACTGCAGTGTGTCGTTGTGAAATGCAGAGGCAACAGCCAAGCACTCGTGCAGTGAGGTGACCGAGATCAGGGCGTCTCAGTCTTGGCACTATTGACATTTTGGGCCAAATAATGCTTTGTTGTGGGAGACTGTCCAGTTCATTGTAGGATGTTTAGCAGCATCCCTGGCCTCTTCCCACTAGATGCCAGCCGTACTCTCCTGGTTATGACAATTAAAAGGCCTCCAGACATGGCTGAATGTCCTCTAGGGGGCAAAAGCTCCCTTAGTTGGGAACCACTAGTCTAGAGAATTTGGTAACCCTCCCACTATAAAACATTGAATCTTGAGAAAATATGATAAAAGTCCTTTGAAATACATATAACTGAGAGTGCAAGAGAGTTGGGGAATCCCAGGGGCAAACACAAAGAGGAAATGGAAAACCCAAGTACTAAGAGGAATTGGGGCTGCTGCTGTCCTGGAGGGGAGGGGGGTGTGTGTGCGTGCTGATTTTGGTATAACTATACTGAGTTTTATTTGTAATTGACATGTGATTTACGGACAATAAAATGTGCAGATCTTAAGAGCTCAGAGAATTTGGCAATTGTATAAACTCATGTATCCACCACACCAAACAAGATATAAAACATTAGGGACTTATTTTAATTGCCACTCAAGTGCTGGAAAGGAGGCCTTGGGTCTGAAAAAGCTGAAAATTTGGAGCTGAGACTGCTGTGTAAGGCAAGGGATTCTTGAAGGGCTGCACCCTTGGTGAAAAGAAAGTCTAGAAAAAAATTCCCCTTGGTACCAGGAAATGTGAAGAAATTTCATCTGCCCTAGTCTTGAGGGGTAAGTGGAATCTCCTAAAAATCTGCAACCATGGGCCTGCCCTAACAAGTGCTTGGAGTTTGAATTTATACCACCAGCATGATCTAAGAACCTTAAGATGAGAAATTAAGTTAAAAAGTAGATCCAGATATGTTTAGATCCTGCTTCGAACTAATCATCTCTCCCTCTCTCATTGTAAACAGATCAGAGAGAGAGAGATTGAAAATCAGGGTAATTTGGCCACAGACTGAATATTGTTGATACTAAGCAATTATTAGTTTTGTATTATTATTATTTTAAGACTCTTGAAGAGAAATTATACATCGAAGTAAAATGATATGCTACCTGGGGTTTGCTCTAAGATAACCCAGTAGAGAGAGGTGGACAGTAGGTGCGGATATAGATGAAACAAGATTGGCTGTGTTGATTATTGTTGGTACTGGGTAGTATATACATGGGAGTTCATTAAACTATTCACTTTACTTTTGTACATGTTTAAAACTTTCCATAGAAAAGTGCTCCCAGGATGGCCATGCCCCTGGAGCACTTGATAGAAGCAAATGCAAAATCTGTGTGGAGGGATGTGACCTCAAGCCAGCCCCCACTGCTCCCCCAGATAAAGCCCTGCTGAACAGAAACTCACCTTCAAAAGTTACGGAGCACCTACGTGAGAGCCAGCAGACAGAATAAATACCAGCATTAGACCCCTGACAACTTTGGGTAATGGTAATATTAAAAACTATGAAGTCAGTATGCTCCATTGAATTAGAAACAAAAAGGAAGGGAAAACGTGAAGAGGAATAAAAAAAAAAAAATCTGGAGAAATTTGGAAACGAATTAATTAGAATTTCTAGAAATGAAAAATATAGTTCTTAAATTTTTTTTTTTGAGGAAGATTAGCCCTGAACTAACATCTGCCGCCAATCCTCCTCTTTTTGCTGAGGAAGATTGGCCCCAAGCTAACATCTGTGCCCATCTTCTTTCTGCTTGAGGAAGATGGTCCCTGAGCTCACATCTGTGCCTGTCTTCCTCTATTTTGTATATGGGACACTGCCACAGCATGGCTTGATAAGCAGCATGTAGGTCCACATCCAGGATCTGAACTGGTGAACCCCGGGCTGCTGAAGTGGAGCATGCAAAACTTAACCGCTACACCACCAGGCTGGTCCCTATAGTTCTTAAATTTTAAAACTCAAATGACTAGGTTAGACAACTAGTTAGACTTACCTTAAGAGAAAATTACTACATTGTAAAGTAAATCTGAAGAATTTAGAGAACAATTTTGTAAGATAAAGAATCATGAGAGGGCCGGCCCGGTGGTGCAGTGGTTAAGTTCACATGTTCCGCTTCTCGGCGGCCCGGGGTTCGCCAGTTCAGATCCCAGGTGAGGACATGGCACTGCTTGGCACGCCATGCTGTGGTAGGCATCCCACATATAAAGGTAGAGGAAGATGGGCATGGATGTTAGCTCAGGGCCAGGCTTCCTCAGCAAAAATAGGAGGACAGGTGGTAGTTAGCTCAGGGCTAATCTTCCTCAAAAAAAAAAAAAAAAAAAAGATGAATCATGAGGAAATTAAAAGACATGGAGAAGAAAACAAGAAGATTCCAGCCTACATCTCATAGGAGTTCCAGAGAAATTGAGAAGAGGCAATACTTTGAAGAGGAGTATTTGAGAATTTTGTAGAATTGACAGAAAAAACTAAAATTCAGGATGCACAGTGAGTCCCATCTGAATAAATAATACTAAATACAAGAATGGGAATAGATTATATAACTTCCAAATCAGTAGAGGAGGAAAAAAGAATACAGAAAAGACAGTAACTCAAGAAAGGAGGTGGGATAAGCCCAGGAAAATCCGGTTAAAGACCATAAAATAATGTTAGAAATCAAACATACCAGTAATCACAATAAGTTTAAGTGTACTTAATCGTTAAGACAGAGATTGTCGGGTTGGATTAAAAAAGAATCCATCTATGTGCTGGGCAAATGCTTAACAGAAGAAAGGTGAGTACTGGGTTCATTTTAGATAAAATACACTTTAACACAGAAGTTGTTATTAGAGATAAAGAGGGTCACTCTAAAATTGTTGCATGTAATAGCAGAGCTGTGAAGTACAGAGGACAGAAACTGACAAATCTGCAAGCGGAAGTCAACAAAACCACAATTGTGGTGGGTGATTTTAAGACAAGTCTGTTGACAGAAGATAGATGGAGCAGATAAAATATTAGATTTGCATAACACAGTTAAAACACTTGATTTAGTGGGTGTATAGAACCCTCTCACCCTCATTACAGAATACTTGAGTTATTCAAGCCCTCATGAAACATTTACAAAGGCTCAAAATGTTCAAAGCTCTAAACCAAGTTCTCAACAAAATTTAAAAATTGGGCATAGAAAAACCATGTTCTCTTATCACAATCCAGTTAGGTTGAAGATTTGTAACAGAAATACCCCTCCTTTGTGTTTGGAAATGAAGGTGGAATGGTTTACTCTCCCCATATGAGCACTCCCAATTTAAATATGCTCATGGGAACCTCTGTTTTCAGATAACAGTAGATCCCATGGTGACTGTTAGAAAATACTAAATTGTCCAGTTTGGAACTGGCCAAAGATGTCAGCTGTAGCCTTTCCTAGTTGTTTTCCCGCACACAGGATGATGCCTGCCACAGAACAATGAAGCAGTAACTCCAGCACTTCTCAGATGAAAGAATGCCATTGTTACGTATTCACCTGTTGTTTCTGTACATATTTAAGGGTCTGGGATGTACATTCCCATTAATTTAGCTACAAATATAGCAAAATAAATGGCTACAGAACACTAAAAATTAAATGTAGCTGAATTCTCAGACATTAAATTTGCTGAATTGTTTGTTCTTTCAGCTGTTAAAATAGAATTTAAAATAATTAGAAGTTAAAAAATTAAAAGTTTTTAGAGGCTGTGCCTGGTGGCTGGTGGTTAAGTTTGTGTGCTCTGCTTTGGCGGCCTGGGGTTCACAGGTTTGGATCCTGGGCGTGGACCTAGCACAGCTCATCAAGTCATGCTGTGGCGGCGTCCCACATAAAATAGAGGAAGATTGGCACAGATGGCAGCTCAGCGACAATCTTCCTCAGCAAAAAGAGGAGGATTGGCGTCGAATGTTAGCTCAGGGCCAGTCTTCCTCACACACACACAAAATTAAGTTTCTCGCCTTATTGAATGCTTGCTATGTACTAGGCACAAATCTAGACATGGGGGTGAAGTAGGGTGTTGTGCAAGATGCTGTCCTGGCCCTCAAGACAATTATGGTTTATCTTACCTGAAATTTCCAAGTATGATATTTAGTCTGAGGTATTCTGAGGGGGATACCTGTACGTAATCATGCAAAGCACAACCACAAGTCGCATGAAGTGCTGAATAGAGAACATGAAGAATTTGGTAGTTTAAATAGTTCATGTTAAATAGTTACTTTAGTTTGAACTAAAGTGAGATCCTTAGAAAAACAATTTTTTTTATAGTTTTGAGTCTAGGTTTTGAACACTTGGGCAGGAGTGTAGGGACACTGAGAACATAACTGGTGTTTGTCAGAGCAGTAACTAAGTGTGGACACATTTTAAACTGTGCTCAGTCACTATTAGCTTCTGTTGGCTTGGGAGGAGTAAGGAAGCCTCTGCAGAGAGAGGAAAGTTTCTCCGTGCATGGTCGTCAGCAGCTGCTCATGCTGCTGTGGGCCCCCTAACATGCTGGCCTTCTGCCAGATTAAAGGAGAGGGACCAGAAAACTCAGATGTTCTCAGCAGCCATAGCAGCATTGTCCAAGAAAAGGGGAGAAATGTTGCTTTGGTGTGTTGAGATAAGCTACAGGTAGAGAATGTACAAAATGGGCCACACAGCAGCTGAGACGCTGACGTGTGTCCTTACCTTAAGAAATTTCAGCTTCAGTCCTGTTCTGTCTTGTGTTCCAAGTGTTGTGTCTGATTCTAACTTGGACATCCTTCCTGTCCCGACTCCCTGCAGGCTTCTACAGGGCAGACTGCTTGCCTTTCACCCTTGTTGTAATTCTTACTTACCTCTCTACAGATGAACAGTATAGCTGTGTGACTTCAGGCAAGTTATTTCGCCTCTCTGTGTTTCTTTGCTGTTAAATATAAACTGTATCAGCCTCCTAGAGTTGTTGCGAGGATTAAATGAGAGAATTCCTAGCACAGAGTAAGGACTTGGTAAATAATAGCTCTTGTTATCATTCTCTCTTCCCAGCCAGGCTGAGGTCATAGAGGTCAGTGTTCTCATCTTGTTCTTTGTGTCTTCCTCAAGTCCTTATCTGCATTGGCCCTGAAGCAATAAAAAATGTTTAGTATTGTTGCCTGATTTCTTCAGTCTTGGTGGTATGTATAGAGCAGCTGTTTTCAAACTGGGTTTTCTTAAACAGTTCTAGTGGTGGTCCTTTTAGAGTCCAAAAATATTTTATTCAAATTTCACCTGTAAATTTTAAGTATTTTAAAAACTAAAAAAATATATAATTTGTGTTATAAAACAAAACTTTAAGTAGTAAAGGTGCTTACGGTGTTAACATGCTGCCAAGTTAATTCATTTTTGTGCTTTTCCTGTCATCTCTGTTTGATTAATTGAAGGTTATCCTGACATTGAAGGCTAAACTGTTGAAAATAAAAACAAACTACAGAACAAGAACCTGCTGCCGTTTGCAAATATTTTTCTCCATAAATTTTAATAGTGTGCAATCAAAACACGCAAAAAACAGAACTCTGTAGTGGACGTAGGACTGCAGCTGCCACGCCTCACTGCTGCTCTCGTTGCTCTGCATTCATCAGAAGAGCTTATTGTTCCCATTGGTTGATCTGATAAATTCATTTTATAAATTTCAATAAGAAATGTATCTATTCTAATTAAATGTGGATTATTTATAATAGCTTTCCTGTTCATGTACTTGTGTGGGAAGCATTTCTTGGCACTGTCCTGTAGCAGGCGTATGCTCTAGGGTAAGGATCTAGGTCTGACAGGCTACAACTGACAGCCTTTGGCTAAACTCACACCTATTAGGTTTCCACATAATTGTGCATTTAGAAGCATAAAGACTTTATTGCTTTCAGAGTCCTTTGAGACCACTGACTCGTGGAGCGTCCTGCCTCCTGGTCAGTTGACCACCACGCTTACTTTTGCAGAGGTCCAGCTGGAGTGAGAGCCCAAGCCCTGGACAGGGCTGGAAATCTGGTGGAAGACTTTGTGTTTGATGGAGGCGTTGGAGACATGGGAAATCGCATTCTTCATGTGAGAAACGCACCTTCCCCTGCTGCCACTTCTTCCCTGGCAATTTCTGGAATGATCGCAGATGAAGTGCAACAGAGATTTAATTTGTAATTAGTGGAAGGAGCTAGGTATGCATTTTAATCTCCACGTTTGGCAACAAGAATACTAATTGCATTCTTTAATTTTAAGGAAAATGGTTTGAAAATATCAACTTTAGGTATCTTGTTTAGGTAACCACTGAATTATTACAATGCTGTAACATAGAAATAATAATTTTTTAAAGCCCGGGCTCTTTCACTTTGGGAATAAAGAGGAAAGGTACAGTTGTGTCTATCCTGAATCCCTGACTGTTAATGACCCGTCCTCACCAATGGGGATCTAGAGATTGGGCTCGTTTAGAATTTCTGGGAATGATGGCATAAAAAATTGATTATTCCCTTAACTTTTTGGCTTTATAATATCTAAGCCTTTTTTGTCTCTCCTACACAAGAAAATTTAGTATTTGTAGGTTGCAAACCTTTTAATTTTGAAGAGTCAGAAAAGGTCAAACTATTTAGAGCAACAATATTTGTATTTGGGAATTTGAAATTCTTGATTTTAAGAAAATATATCAAATCTCACATTTTTAAGTAGTTTGAATAAGATTCTATCTTGGCTATAATATTTGTAAGAAATAACTTTGCAAAAGAAGTGCCAGCCTCTTTGATTCCCAGCTCTCCCAAACTGACCTGGTGTGGAGTCATCACTGTGTCTAAGCAGCACTTGGCTAAGATGCTGCTGCCCGCCCTTCAGTCTTCTGTGGCTGAGGAGCTGAACGAACCTGCAGCTGATGGGCTTTTACGAGAACAGTTTGAGAGTCCTGTCACTGGTAGACAGAAGTCTGTAATTTTAAAAATTATTTACCTCTTCTGTCTCTGTCCCTCAGTTATGCCAAGGTTCTCAGATGCTGGCCAAGATCACTAACAATTCATGCCTACTTGGTTTTTCAGGGATCCTATAGACTTTTATGAGGATGTTTCTTCATTTTGGGAAATACCTAACTTTGAGGCATTCACTTTTGTAAACCGCAAAAGTGCCTTAACATTCATGTGTACTTCATGAATATTTTACACTGTTGCCCAGTGCCATACTGTATACTGTACATATGCATGTGGTCTCTGTTGAAATGGATCTTGCAATTCAGAAAGTTGGAAAATAGAAAGATAAATGGAAATATGGCAGCCTACTGATTGGGGAAACCTTTATTACAGAACCACCGCTTATGTGAGACATTTTCATCCATGCCCCCACATATGCTCTCTCAGGATCAACCTTCCATTCTTCATTTTTTCTTTCCTCTTCCCTCTCCAAAGCTGTGTGATGGATGAGTTAGAAGGATGTGCACTTTGGTTGATAGGAAAAACTTTTCTGTTTCCTTCCTTTTCACTCCAAGCTTCAGTGATTACACTGATTGAGCTACCTCATCCATTAATGGAAAGGCTGCGCATCATCAGCTCATGCTCAAGAAGTAGCACAGCCCAGGTAAATGCACTGGTAGGCAGTCATTTGGCACTTGGCATGAGCATATTGGAAGCATTCAGAAACCACTCGAGCAAGAAACAGCCCTAATGGTTCTTCTTAACAACTGATTCCTCCAAGAAATGGGACATACAGCGTATTTTTCTGTTCTGTTACAAGACCATTAAGTGATGGAAAATATTAGAATTCTCTATTTAATCAACAGTAAGATTATGTGTATGCTAAGCTGTGAAAGACTGAAATTACAAAAATAACTGTCTTAATTAAAGCAATCCTCATTCCATTTGGGTCTGTACTATACCTCCAACAAATATAAGTGAAGAAATTATTGAAAGTCTTTTGAATGTGTAGGTCATGCTGTTTGTAAAAATATTTTATATTTATGTCATAGGATTTTGTTGTGTAATACTGATAGAATATTTAAAAGTTTTGTGTATTTCTGAGGAGAAAATGTATATTAATATTAAAAATATTTTAAGGAGCCTTAGTGTTGTGAACATAATTTTTAGTTTTATAAAAACTCTGATTCACATAAATTTTTTGTGTCAAACATGAACTACCCCAGCTTTAGATAGCAGCCAATCTTAAAAAGTTTAAAACTTCAGTATTTGTGTGTAGTATAAAAATCAGGTAGAGTAGTTTATATTTTGGATAAAAAGTAGAACACTTCTGGGGCTGGCCCCGTGGCAGAGTGGTTAAGTTCGCGCACTCCGCTGCAGGCGGCCCAGTGTTTCGTTGGTTCGAATCCTGGGCGCGGACATGGCACTGCTCATCAAACCACGCTGAGGCAGCGTCCCACATGCCACAACTAGAAGGACTCACAACAAAGAATATACAACTATGTACCAGGGGGCTTTGGGGAGAAAAAGGAAAAAAATAAAATCTTTAAAAAAAAAAAAAAGAACACTTCCCCACTTACAAAAATGGCTTTCCATCTGGTAGTGGTGGCAATATGTGGCTGACCTCAGTGTCATCTTCATACCCCAGAGCACTAGGCAACATTATTTCTGTTCCATAGCAGAATGTATATAACATATAAAAACAGTGCTTTTTGGGGAGGAGCAGGGTCCAAGAAATAAACCAATCTTTTGGCATTTTATAAAAAATTACAGTTCCTCTTGGAAAGACATTTTTGGTATGCTCTCTCTTACATGGGGTCGGGCTTCTCGTATGAGCCTCCATAAGGGTTATAACCAAATGATCTGTCTGAGCGCCTGCCCCACTGCTTTCCGGCAGGTGGACTGTGAGAGCACCAGAGTTAGCCACAGCAAACGAACCATGAAAGTGAGTGACAACAACGTGTATTGTTTCCTGTGGCGTTGCTTTGGTTTGCTACTGACTGGCAGCACTTGTGGCTTTAAATAAATTGAGGAAGTAAGAGGGAGTAATGGGAGAAATGTTGAGCAAGTTCTTGAAAATGTCTTTCAGTGGGAGAATATTATTGGTAAAATTTTACCTGCCTATTAAAATTTGAGATGTGCTTGAGTCATTCAAGTTATCTCCCAAAAGCCATTTTAAATTCCAAAAAGACAAGTAAAATTACCATCAATTAAATTATTAAAATGATAGCCTATTGATTTTAAATCAAATGTATAATTGAGCTCTTTGGTATATATACATAGGCCCTCCCTTTTACAGTATTGGTGTGCTTAACACTTCCATTTTTTAACACTTGAAGCAGGTGTTTATAATGAGGTTGGAAATTTTTCATTTTAAAAAATGGCTTTTAATTAATGTTTTTGAATAAGTGCAATTTCAAATGGTTGAACATTCAAAAGTCATAGAAAGGTACACAGTGAAAAGTCTCCGTCTCTAGCCACCCAGTTCTCATCTTGGAGGCAACAAAAATTATCAGTATCTTGTGGAGACGGGCAGAGAGGTTACATCTATGTATAGTAAAACACTGCGTCCATCTTATTTTACACAGTGGTAGCATACTCTGCACACTATCTTATACATCCTGCTCTTTCGCCTTCCAGTGTATCTTTGAGAATGTTCCACAGTGCCTGGTTCTTTTTAAATGACTGTATAGGTTCCATTCTGTGGATTTACTGTTATTTGTTGAACCAGTTCCTACTGATGATTATTTGAATTGTTTATTTCTAGGGTGTTTTTGTTTTGTTTTTGCTGTAACAAACAATACTGCAATGAATAACCTTCTAAGTCATTTCCCCTATGAGCAAGTATACCTATAGGACACATTCCAAGAATTTGCTGGGTCAAAGGGTGTGTGCCTTTGCAACTTTGATAGCCGTTGTCCACTTGCCCTTGATGGAGGCTGGACCATTTACACTCTCACCAATAATGAACCAGGGCACCTGTTTCCCCATACTCATCAGCACAGTGTATAATCGAACTTATTCGTCTGTGCTATTCTAATGGATGGAAAATAACTCAGTGTAATTTAAATTTGCTTTTTCTTAATGTGAATGAAGGTGAGCATCTTTAATATGTTTGAGACATTTATATTTCCTTTTCTGTGAACCGTCTTCATATTCTTTATCCTTTTTTTTCTTATTGAGTTATGGTCTTATTAATTTGTAGGAGCTCTTTTAGATATTATGGAAATTAGCTCTTAAGGGAATGAATTGCAGATATTTTTTCCAGTTTGTCATTTGCCTTTTGATTTAGCTTGTGTTGGGTTTTTTTGCCATACATTTTTAAAAAGAGAAGTTATCAATCTTCCAGATTTTATATCATAGTAGGAAGGTCTTTTATACTGTGAAGTTATAAACAAATTATTTTATGGTTTTACTTTCTACATTTAAGTCTGACACATCTGGAATTTATCCTAGTGTAGAGCGTAGGGTATGGATCCAACGATTCTTCCTAGATGGCCCATTTGTCTGGTTGGGAAGCTTTTTACTGGTGTCATTCTTGGCTTATCCTCCACATGCACGCGGATCACATTTCTGTTTGCCTAGCCCAGAGATCACAACTCAGATGCCTGTGGAGACTAGGCAGGTTACGTAAAAGGGTGAAGAGTGCCAGGTGGGGAGAAGAGCCAACTGGAAATGGGATGGCATTCTTTTCTAAAGAGGGTGGCCACTGCCCGCCGCCTGCTGATTACGCCCTAGCAGGCAGGCAGCAGGGCCCAGTCTTTGTCAAGAGAAGCTGGAAATCCAGAATTTTTATATGAAGTTTCTTGACTTTAAAATGTTAACAACAATTTAAAAAATTTAAACATAGCCTTGGCTAAACAAAATGTATCTTCAGGACAAAGGTTTCCAATATCCATGGCCAAGAATGAAACTTGCCACTAACAACTTTACTCTCCTGTAAGGAAACACAATCAGAGTCTAGTAGTTTGACAGTCTCGTAGTCTGTAACCGGACTCCTGGAAGAGGAGAGAGAAGTAAAGACGGTCTCCGTAACCCAAAGTCCTTGCCCTCACTGATTGGAAAATTAATTGGAGAAATGCAAGCATTTCACTCTCCTACCTTTTATCCCACGTACATATGGCTGTGGCGATTTATTAGAAGACATTCTTGATTCAGTGGATACTTGAGTTAGAAAAATGATCTCTTAAGTTTTCCAACTGCCATTCTGATTTTGCCAAAATGACAAAATGGTGTGTGATTTGCTCAATTGCTCACCTACTCATCTGGGAACTGAAGTGTGGCGCACTTATTTTTTTGCGCCCAGTTCTTCCTTTCCCTTCCTCACTGCTCGTGGCTGGGGACAATCTGTTATAATTCATGCGCTCAGCATCTTTCGTGGGATGAAATTTACGCTAATGATGAAGTTTCCAGAGTCTATGCCTGTTCAACTCAGGAAAGCTCAAGGTCTGGGATCGTTCTGGGTTGCTAATGAGTATGGCTGGGCCCCAAGGGCGGATCCAGGTTTTCCGGGACGGGTGCCTACACAATTTGGAGGACACCATTAAGAAAACAATTCAAAACTGTTTGGGAAGTTTTACAGAAAAGATATGATTTTGTGAACACATAGGGACCCGTGCAAGCGAAGGACCTTTAACTTCAAGTTTGATTAGCGTCCTTGTCACCTGCCTTTTCTGGCCTCGGTGTGTGCTTCGGGCCCGCCACGCCTCCCTCCTGCATCCCCACACGGCCTCCGCGTACAGAAGAGCCGCGCAGAGCACAAGGACGCTAACCGTCGCGTCCAGCCCGAGCGCCCCTTCGCATCCTCGCACGGCCTCCCAGGACCGCAGCCCTGGCTGCAGGCGCGCGAGGGGAGGCCCCGGGTCAGCTCGGCGTCGGGAAGGGCGAGAGGAGGCCGAGCGTGCGTGACGCGCACCGGGTCGGGCGGCGGGCCTGGAACCGCCCCGGCCCGCCCCCTTGACCACCCCGCCCCGCTCCCCGCGCGCCCCCTCGCCCCGCGCGCCCCGCTCCCCCCCCGCTCCCTCGCCCCGCGCCGCGCCCCCCGCAGGCCCCCGCTCCCTCCCGGCTCCTCGCCCCGCCCCGTCTCGCGCCGCGCCCCCCTCGCGCGCCCCCCTCGGCTCCCCGCCCCGCGCGCATGCTCCGTGAGGCGCTCGCGCTCGCGCCGGGGGCCGCGCCGGCCGGGGGCGGGCCCACAACTGCCGGACGGAGCGCGGCGGCCGGGGCGCGGCGGCTCGGTGCGCGCCCGAGGGGCCCGCTCGCCCGACGCGCGCGCCCGGTCGGTCGGGGCCTCTGAGGGGACGCGGCGGGGCCGCGGGGGCGATGAGGGGCCGCGCCGCCGCCGCCATCCGCCCGCCGCGGCCCTAGCGGGAGTCGGCGGGGGGCGAGGCCGGCCGCCAGCGGCCGCAGCCAGACAAAGGGGAGGAGCCGCCGAGCGGCCCGCGCCGGGCCAGGCCCAGCCCCCGAGCGCCGCGAGCAGCCGCCCGCCGCCCCGCGCCGCCGCTGGCCCGGCCGGCCCCCGATGCGGAGGCGCCGCGGCCGGGGCCATGCAGCAGGCGCCGCAGCCGTACGAGTTCTTCAGCGAGGAGAACAGCCCGAGATGGCGGGGGCTGCTGGTGCCGGCCCTGCGGAAGGTCGGTGCGGGCCGGGCCGGCGGGCGGGCGGGCGGGCGGGCGGCTGGGGGCCCGGGGCCGCGTCGCGCCCGCCGCCCGGAAGGAGGGCGCGCTGCGGGGGAGACGCGCCGGGGGCGCGGCCGCGGCGGCTTCCGCGGGGCCCCAGCCGCTGTCCGGGCCGGGCCGTCCGACGCGGCTCGGGGCGGCGCTGTCCCTGGCGGGCGGCCGCGGGGCCCGGCGCCCCTGCCTCCCTGCCTCCGCGGGGTGTCCCGCCAGCCGGGCCGCCTCCCGCGCGGCGCGCTCCGGGACTCGCTCAGAGAGCTGCAGCTCGTAAACATCAGTCCTGGACGTCCGGGTCGTCTCTCCGGGAGATGGTGTTCGTCTGCGCCTGGGAAATTGGGGGATAATCACGCTCGCGGTTTTACAGCGAGCCCCTTTGTAAGGTCGAGACGGAGTTAGAGACTGTAAATGGTGCGTGGTTGCCGAGCGCGAGCCTGCCCGGCCGTTGATGCAGACTTACTCCCTTCTGCCTC